TGTTAATGGAATATATAATCTTGGTAATTGTTATCAAAATGGAGTTGGAGTTGAAAAAGATGATCATAAAGCATTTATTTATTATCAGAAAGCTGCTGAGATGGGATTTAATTTTGGAGTATTTAGTCTTGGTAATTGCTATGAAAATGGAATTGGAGTTGAAAAGAATGAAAAAAAGGCATTCACATATTATCAAAAGGCTGCTGATATGGGGCTTGATATTGGAATATTTAGTCTTGGTAGTTGTTATCAAAATGGAATTGGAATTGAAAAAGATGAAAACAAAGCATTTATTTATTATCAAAAATCCGCTGAAATGGATTGTGTTAATGGAATAAATAGTCTTGGATATTGTTATCGAAACGGAATTGGAGTTAAAAAGGATGAACATAAGGCTTTCATTAATTATCAAAAAGCTGCCGATATGCGAGATCCTTGTGGAACTTATAACGTTGGATATTGTTATCGAAATGGAATCGGTGTTGAAGAGAATAAACATAAAGCATTTATTTATTGTCAAAAGTCTGCTGAAATGGGGTATGTTCAAGGAATCTTTTTTCTTGGACATTGTTATCTTAATGGAATTGGGGTTGAAAAAGATGAAAATAAAGCGTTTATTTATTTTCAAAAATCTGCAGAGTTGGGACATGCAGATGGAATAAATGAACTTGGATATTGTTATAAGAACGGAATTGGAGTTATTAAAAACGACAATAATGCATTCATTCATTATCAAAAATCTGCAGAGATGAGACATGTGGATGGAACATATAACCTTGGTAATTGTTATTTTTATGGAATTGGAGTTGAAAAGGATTATCACAAATCATTTATTTATTACCAAAAATCTGCCGAAATGGGGCATGTTAATGGAATGTTAGTTCTTGGTCACTTTTATCATAATGGAATTGGGGTTGAAAAAGATAAATCTAAGGCATTTATTTATTATCAAAAATCGGCGGATATGGGTAATTCTGATGGAATGTTTCAAGTTGGAAATTGTTATTGTAATGGAATTGGAATCGAAAAGGACGAACATAAGGCATTCATTTGCTACCAAAAATCTGCAGATATGGGTAAGTCTGATGGAATATTTCAAGTTGGAAATTGTTATTTTAATGGAATTGGGGTTGAAAAGAATGAATATAAGGCATTCATTTTCTATCAAAAATCTGCAGAGATGGGGAACGTTAGTGGAACATTTAATGTTGGTTGTTGTTATTCAAACGGAATTGGAGTTGAAAAGGATGAACATAAGGCATTCATTTATTATCAAAAATCTGCAGAGATAGGTGACATTGTTGGAGCATATAATGTTGGGTATTGTTATCAAAATGGAAGTGGGGTTGAAAAGGATGAACGCAAGGCATTCATTTATTATCAAAGATCAGCTGATTTGGGATACTCTAACGCAATATATAATGTTGGTTATTGCTATCTAAATGGAATAGGGATTGAAAAAAATGAACATAGAGCATTTGCAAAATTTCAAAAATCAGCCGAAATGGGTGTTTCTAATGGAATTAATAATCTTGGCTATTGCTATCATAATGGAATTGGAGTTGAAAAGGATGAGTATAAAGCATTCATTAACTACCAAAAATCTGCTAATTTGGGAAACCTCATGGGAATATATAATATTGGTTATTGTTATATGCATGGAATTGGTGTTGAAAGGAATGAACATCAAGCATTTATTTATTATCAAAAATCCGCCGAAATGGGACACGTTAGTGGAATAAGTAGTCTTGGATCTTGTTATAAAGATGGAATTGGAATCGAAAAGGATGAACATAAGGCATTTATTAATTATCAAAAGGCAGCTAATATGGGTCATAGCGGTGGAATTCTTGGTCTTGGCGCTTGTTATCAAGACGGGATTGGAGTTGAAAAAGATTATAAAATGGCATTTACGCTTTACCAAAAAGCGGCTGAAATGGGACATGCCGATGGGATAAATAATATTGGTCATTGTTATCAAAATGGAATTGGAGTTGAAAAGGATGAGCATCAAGCGACCATTTATTACGAAAAATTAATTGAAATGAAACACACTGCTGGAATAGAAAATCTTGGTGATTGTTACCGAAATGGAATCGGGGTAACAAGAGATATACAAAAGGCCATTAATTTGTATCAAATGTAAGTAAATTTGTTGAAATTGCTTATTATTTTTGATCATAAATTTGTATTAAAATAAATTTATTCAAATAATTAATTAGGCATAGAAGTATATTATCAGGTAACTTTCTATAAATGTTTATGTTTCTATCTATTTTAGTATAAAATATAGTAACTAAAAATTTTTTATTTATGCTCAGCGAAAAATGAATGGGTACATAAAATTAATGATATTGAAGAAGACTTAAAAAGAACGTTAGCTGAACATAAATACCCATTGTTATGGATTCCTTATAATGAATTTCAAAATATTGAAATGATTGGGCAAGGTGGATTTGCAACCGTATTTTATGCAACGTGGACACATCAAAGAATATCAAGTAATGTTGCACTGAAATTGCTTCATGAGTCAAGTGAATATAATCGTGAAGAATTTATTAAAGAGGTAATATTATATAATTTTTTAAATATATCATTACCCGACTTTTATATCTCATGTGAATATTTTTTTTAATATTAAAGCTAAAGGCATATTGTGATATTGGTTATGAAAATCCAACATTTTTAAAGTGTCATGGTATATCAAGAAATGAATCTGGCGATTACGTTCTTGTTATGACGTATGCGACAAAAGGTTCTTTGCGTGATAATCTTTATTATATATCACAAATGGAATGGAAAGACAAATTAAATTTATTAATTTGCATTGCAACTGATCTTCAGGCCATTCATTCACAAAAACTCATTCACAGAGATTTACATAGTGGCAACATATTGCAAAATAGCTTGAACAGTGCATATATCGCAGACTTAGGACTTTTAATCTCAGTTAAAATTGCATCTAAGATGGCGCTAGAGAAAATTTGTGGAATTTTACCATATATAGCTCCAGAAGTTTTGGAAGGAAATCCATATACGATGGAATCTGACATATATTCATTTGGTATGATTATGTGGGAAATTTTTTCTGGAATTCCCGTATTTTTTGACCAAGAATTTGGACCACAACTTCAAATTCAAATCGCAAATGGTTTACGACCAACATTTCTTGAAGGAACACCAGAATGCTATATAAATATTATAGTAAGATGTTGGGATACAAAACCTCAAAACCGTCCATCTACTGAAGAAATTTGTGAGACTTTTATGAATTGGAAAAATGATGAAAGGATTTTGACAGACTTATCCAAAAATAAAATAGTAAATATTGCACATATGCAAACATATTCTAAGGAAAATTATAAAAGCAAGTTCGCCCATACGGTGTCATATTATCAAGGTAAGGTAACCGATATAAAACTTATTTGATGGCATTTCTTCAATATTGATTTATTATATATTTGCATTTTGTAGAAACATCCAAAAGCCTTTTGATACCAACATTAAATCAATTCTGATTAATCATTAAGAACTTATTATTTTACTGCATTTTTCAAATTATTGTAATTATTTAATGTGATTTTTAATTATAATAGTTTATTAATAATTCTATAGACTATTAAAATAATAATTTCCTATGCTTTTCTAACTATAGAGAAGATATTCAACAAGAACTTTGAATCCTATTAATGTGTAAAAATCGAAAATAGCATTGAATATTAAGTGGAGTGCCGTTTATTACGTAATTTATTTGGAAGGTTAGCGATTTATCACGTTAATATATCGAATATAAACGCGATGATTGGCTGCTAATTTTATCATATGGGTTTGGCCTCCTAATAAAAATAACATAATAAACGGCAAGTCCCCAAAAATAAACAGTATTAATAAGATATCTTCGTTCAAATTGCATAAAATAATATTACTTTATCAACCAACTAAAAGATCTAATTTATGATTTGAGTGACAGTGACCAAAATTGCAAATAAATTAATTTAAATATATAGCAAACAATAAATAAGAGTTTTAAAATGATTTTTAAATAATGTTAGCATCAACTAAATGATTTGTGCAATATTGTACAAATAAATATGAACCCAGAAAATGTGTACTAGGATGGGTTCGGGTATTGTCCGGATGATGGTCCAGGAAATAAGCCTTCAAAAGTTTTTTTATTAAGACTTTATTTTTCAATTATAACAATAGTAAAAAACAATATAATGCAATTTACAATACTGTATATATCTAATGCATATAAACAATACAAATGGACTTGAATTTCAACATTCTAACAGTTTATTTCTTTTTAACCTTTGTTTTATATGACGTTCTTCGATAAATTATGTACAATACTCTTTTTGTAAACAATCTTTTTTTACGCCCCCTTATAGTTGTTAGACGAAACCTTTTCGCATGATAAACTTCCGATGAAAGTCGAAACCCCAAGATCTTATGACGAAAGTCGAAACCTTAAATTTAAAATGAAAATGACAAACCTTACGCTCAAAAAACAAAACCCTAGTAATACAGTATAATGAATAGGACAAATTAATAAAATGTAATAAACATATTATGAAAATTTATTAACAAAAAGCATGATAAATTAATATAAAAATAAATAAATAATAAACACTTAGAATATTAAATCCTACATTTGTATAAAAAACAATTCTACAAATTTAGGAACTACTTAAACGGAATTTTAACAGTAAGGTTGACATATGATTGAAAGAATAATTTTAAAGGATTATTTAATTTACATTTATATTATATCAACCTCCCAAATTATATTACCTTAAACTTGAATTTTTTTCTATAAGCGATGGCTTAAGATTGATTTTACTGAGATATTAAAATTATGTAGAAAGCTATACAAAAATATCTATGCAATATATATTATTAATCAAAGGTATCAATGCCATTAGAAATTCAGAATTAATCAAAAAAATTCATAAGTTACCTTGAAACTTCAATAATAAACTATCAAAATGTTAGACAAGCTAGTCTATTTCCTGAGAACCAGGCGTATCAAAAATTTGGTGTCTACGTTGATACTTCTTATAAAGGAAGAATCCAGCGATTGCAAAACAAATAAGGCAAAATATGCCTACACAAAGACCAATAATTAATTTTATTTTTGACGAGATTATATCACTTGAAGAAGGAGTTTTTGGATTAGGTTTGTTAAAATCTAATGCATCAAAAGTTGTAATCCATGTGTAATTTCGTATGTCAAGAATATAAACTTGATTGCTCGGTGAACTTCCTGAATCACCTATATTAACAAAATTATAATAAATAAATACTTAATTATAAATAAAAAACTTGAAATGCAAAGTAATTACCAAATGCAATTAACATATAATTTCCATAAAGCAATGCAGAATGCCCAGAAAGTGAAGGCGTAAGACTAGGGTTTGAAATGCTTGGAGTTGACCAATTATATGGAAAAACACTTGTATCCAACACCACAAGACTAGGAGTTGATGGTTTAATGAGATTACCATAAACCCCACCAAATACTATAATACGTCCATTCTGGTCTATATTAAACCAAAAAAGAAAGGGCAAAATATTTATCTAAAACTCGAATGGAGCCGTTGAGACAAAAATACTTATATCTCGCGATCTACTGGGCCGATTTTAATGATTTAACCGCCATTTTGATCCAAAAAATCATAAAATATTTACGTACCTAAAACAGCAGAATGAAGGCTACGAGCTCCAACTGTACTACCAGAAGTAGGCTAATTAAAATATAATGAAATAATAATTTCAGAAGAAATTAATAATACAATTTCGAAAGAAATTTAATAATATAATTTTAGAAGAAATTTAATACATAAATTTCAGAAAAAATTTAAGAAATTTGATAATATTATCATATAAATTTGTACATACAGTTGTGTACCAACGTAAAGAATTTGTATCAAATACTAAGACCTATATTTTTATTAGTATAATGAATTTAAAAATTCATTGAATAAATATTAAATTAATGAATAAGAATTCGAATACCTCATTCATATTAACATCAGAAATTAGCCCAGTTGGTTGGCTTTGTGGTCTTTCAAACCCACCAATATAAATTATGAGCCCACTCTTCAATAAAACAGCAGCATAATCAGCACGAAGTGTAGGAACATTGGTTGAAAGATCTAATGTTGACCAAGTCATTGAAGTAATATCGAGAATATTCATATCATTACTATAATAAACGGTCGCTAAAGTGCCATTCGGATTTATATCTGCATGAATACCACCGAAAATGTAAAATTTTGCCAATTATAGCCTGCATTCCATAACGTCCTATGAATGAACTATTAAAATTTGTAATACTTGGAGTCGTCCATATAGAATTTTTAGAGTCAAAAGTATATACTGGTGAAGGTAAAGAATAATTTTTTATTGGATCATATGCTAATCCACCAATTAAGAAAACTGTAGAGTTATCAATCGAATTAAGACATGAAGTTGCTAAAGCTTCACTAGCAGGAATTACAACAGGATTTTTATTCCATGGAGGCGAAGCAGTATTAAATGAATTTGACAAGTCAAGATATAATACTTCATTTATAGTTTGTTTTCTGTTGTAACCTCCGAAAAAATAAAACTTTGATCCAATAAGAACACTACTCTGATAATATCTTGGATCAGGAATAAGCTGACAAAGTACAAATGCATGCTTAAAAATTATCATAAAAATTAAATAATAAAGTTTTTGATAGGAATTCATGATGACAGAAAAAGATCTGTCTTTATTTTTTTTTTACATTATTCGGCAAATTTTATATTTTCGTTTGCTGTGTAACTAATTCTCATTGTAATGGTCTATGCTGTTTAACCTATTATTCTTATCGTACAGGTCATAAGGGTAGTATGGGTTTTACTTGTACCGGTGTTACGATCAATTCGTAACATTAGGAAATGTTGGTAGAATTTATTTATAAATTAGTATCGGACTTGACCTTAATTCCGACGGGTTAATGTTCGGATAGATGATTGTACTGTTGTAGAATAGTATCGTTGAGGAAGGTTGTACGATGCCTCTTCAATGATACTTACACATGTATATAAATGTTAGTTTCCCCCGATGTTAGAGTAGAAGGTGTACGCCCTTTGAACTCTTCTCCTAATAAAGAGAATTCTTATGACTTGTCCCTTCTAATAAATTACTTATCTAAATGCCCACTTATCATAAATGTTTCAATTATCGTACCGATTCTAAGGGATTCTCATAAAGTGTGTCCATGACTCCTTTATATTAGTTTACCATCTTGACCTATCTTGGCACCTATTAGGGATGTTAATGGAGTGCTCCGAGGTGGTGTGGTGTATACTTTGGCAGAGTATTCTTTAACACTACACCACACTGGAGTATACTCTTACAAAGTAAACTCTGTAATATTACTTTGGAGTATTAAGTTAGGTATAATTCGGAGTATTAAACCGAAGCATACTTCAAAGTATTGTGACCAGTAGAACTGAAGCCCGGAAGCACGTGAAGGATTTGTGGCGTTGTGACGTAGTAACGGCACAACGGCTATGTAGATCATTTACCAAAGATAGGTTTACCGGTGGAAAGAATAGAAAATGTGGAAACTGTGGAAAATAAGTAAGTAAAGGAATAAAAGATAATACGGATATTGGTGAATTATATGATTAAATAGTCTTTAACTCGGTGCATAGCACCGAGCTTTAACATTATTAAATAAAAATTTTAATAAAATAAATATTTTTAAGTTTATTTAATAACTTTAATAGTTTTTAATTATATTTATCAGCAACGCGCAATTAAACATTCTATAAAAACAACTTTATTTAAGACAATATAACTTGTATTGCTTCGCTAACACTCAGCAATACCAACTAAGCTCACTTTGCTTACTTAGTAGTCGCTTGCTATGGCTAACGCCTCTGCATCTCTCTTGCTACCTAATGCTAATACTAACCCTAACCTTAACCCTAACCCTAACCCTAACAAATCTTAGATTTAATTTTATTCTTAATCTTAGTCTAACTAATCTTAGTTTTAATTTTATTTTTAATCTTAGTTTTAATTATATGTATTTAATTAAGTTTATATATTTAGATTTTTTAGAAAAAAAATAAAAATGCTTTAAATTTAATATACAAACCTGGGCCCGTTGGGCCCAGGTTTGTATATTAAATTTAAAGCCAAATATATATAATAAATAAAATATATAATTTTGTAAAAATATAATAAAACTTATATATTATATCTAAAATAACTTTTAAATAAAAAATAAACTTGTATTAGAACTTATCTTAGATACTAAATAGATTTACCTTAGATACCAAATGGACCTACCTTAGATACCAAATGGACCTATCTTAAGTACTAAATGGACCTACTTTAGGTACCATATGGACCTACTTTAGGTACCAAATAGACCTACCTTAGACACCAAATAGACTTATCTTAAGTACTAAATAGACTTATCTTAGGTACCAGATGGACCTATCTTAGGTACCAAATGAACCTACCTTAGGTACAAAATGGATTAATTTTAGGTACAAAATGAACCCGGATTAGGTTCAAAATGTAACCGGATTAGGTTCAAAATGAACCCGGATTAGGTTCAAATGAACCCGGGTTTGAATATAGATTTAGAAATCGCCGGCAAAGTTAAAGCAGTGAATTTCTCAATAACTACTGATCCGATTTAGATGAAATTTTTACAGTAGTTAGAATAGGTATTGAACTATAGCTCATAAAATTTTTAGCCAATTTGAATGTATAGTTCTTGAGTAATTGCTTAAAAACTAAAATTAATTGGTAAAAAATAATTGTTTATCATTTTTTAGCAATTACTCTATAACTACTTATTCAAATTAGTTGTAATTTGATTATATTATAGTCAAATAGCATATCTAATTGCTGTAAAAATTTTAGCCAATTTGAATTAGTAGTTCTTGAGTAATTGCTTAATATTTGTAAATATTTGAGATAAAATAATTGATTATAGTTTTTGAGCAATTACTCAAGAACTACTAATTCAAATTGGCTAAAAATTTCAAAGATTATAGCCCAATATCATATTTAGTTACAGTTAAAATTTCATCCAATTTGGATCAGTAGTTGTTGAGAAAATCACATCCGGATATTAGTGTAAATTTTAAAAAATGTGTAATAAAAAATTTAAAATCTATAGATTTTCAATAGTGCCGGCAAAGATTTGGCAGTGAATTTCTCAATAACTACTAATCCAAATTGGATGAAATTTTTATGGTAGATAGATATGATATTGGGCTATATACAATAAAATTTTTAGCCAATTTGAATTTGTAGTTCTTGAGTAATTGCTTAAAAACTGAAAATAATTAGTAAAAATTAATTGCCTATAGTTTTTATGTAATCACTCAAGAACTACTAATTCAAATTGGCTAAAAATTTTATAGTTTATAGTCCATTAATATATCCAATTACAATTAAAATTTCATCCAATTTGGATCAGTAGTTGTTGAAAAAATCACAGCCGGATATTAGTGTAAATTTAAAAAAATGTGTAGTAAAAAATTCAAAATCTATAGATTTTTAATAGTGCCGGCCAAGATTTGGCAGTGAATTTCTCAACAACTACCAATCCAAATTGGATGAAATTTTTACAGCATATAGATATGATATTGGGCTATATGCAGTAAAATTTTTAGCCAATTTG